AAAAAAAAAAAAAACTTGGGCAAACTTTGCGTCTTATCCTGTGAGTTAAAATTCGATAATAAAAAAATTGGGATCACCAGGCTCGTTTTTGAGTTATCAGCACTTAAAGCACTTAAAGCACTGAAAGCCAAAATTAAGGGTGTTTTTAGCAGTTCATACAGTTGCTATGGTAACTTTTTACTACATTTTGACGTCCTCCGTGATCAATTAGTGAACAGACGCACGGCGACATGAAATCTATCTGTTTTATACAACAGAGACACAAAAACAATGTTAACGTTAATGACGTCATCTGTAAGTCTGTCCTCCGATAGATCAGAAGAACCAATCAAAACGCGAGAATAATTTGAATTGTTATGTGATGGCTGAGAGTCTACATGTACCAGTAGCTTAGCCAAGCAGATTGCCGCATTTGTATTACTATACTAATAGAATTCTGTGGTAATAGATGTCCAACAGTAGCAATTAAATGAAATAATGAAATATGCGAATGCAGCCATAACACTACTGAAAAAATGGCCTGAAAAAATTTTTGGCTCTGAACGGGATTCGAACCCACGACCTTTGCCCCACCGGTGCAATGCTCTACCAACTGAGCTATCAAAGCCACATGAGAGCAGTCGTGTGGGAGTTCGGCCCTATATGTTCAGTGGACGTAATACTCGGCTCAAGCATATGAATTCCATGGTAATAGATGTGCAACAGTAGCAATTAAATGAAATAATGAAAGATGCGAATGCAGCCATAACACTACCGGAAAAATGACCTGAAAATTTTTTTTTTCCAGTAGTGTTATGGCTGCATTCGCATCTTTCATTATTTTATATAATAGAATTCTATTTATGTAAGATAGGGGGAACCGCGCACGCTGTGGACTTGCTGTGTACTTGCGGTCTCCTTCCCGAGTATGGTCCTCACCCAATCTAGATAGGAGTTCACATAAAAATGCAAGATTTACACAAACGTTTCCTGAATGTTCCGCCAATATTCTTCCGCTGGGAACCCATTGTAAGGGATAAGTGGTATCCTTTTGACATCAAAATCTGGGGCTCGTTTCTCCAAGCTCGCGAAAGGTTTTCGCATGCAGAAAGCCATAGCAATCTCCAACCTTATGATATTACAGAGCTGCTTTATTCACGTATTTGTAATATGAACAGAGGTTCCCTTCATATAAGAAGTTTCATGCGTACACACCTCTCTATTTTTCGATACAGATTAGCTAAAAATCGCTTTGCGGACCCGAAAAGTTTCCGGGACTTTCGAGAAACTGACGCCTGGTCTTGACATGGCCCGATTATTGGTGGGAAAGATTTATCGAGTTCTATGATTTTTTGGCATCTCAAATAAGTGCATTTACTTTTAGCGAAAGTAAAATCTTTCCAGGAATCATCACATTTTTAAAGCGAATTTTCGTTTATCAATTCTCATCTCTTACTGGCAAACTCCTCACAGGGAATGTTACGACAAAGATCTTGAATAATTATAGTACCCAACACAAGGTGGTAACACTGCAGTGAAAAATGGTATCTAGAAGTTGGCGGCGTCATTTCTCGTTAAAGGGAAACTAAGATGCGGCTTTTTATCGCACTAAGGTATTTTTTTGGACAGAAAGAGATAAATTGGAGATAGGTCGGAGGAACAAAGTGTGGGTAATAAAAAGGTGACGAGTGAAATAAGCATCAGCACGGTCATTCAAATTTAGGCGCCAATTATGCAAAGTCTATTAGCTTACCTCAGAATAAATTTAACCAGCATTTCGTGTAGTGATTTAGTGCATGGTCATGATTATCACGAAATGTGCAGGTAAAAACTTGAGAGACGCGAGGTTAATTTGTTCCATAAAGTGGCAAAGAAAATATGCCATTGGATTTCTAAGGTTATGGGAGTTTCTTTGTAAAGACGAGATGTTAAAAATTTGCCGATATCTGAATTGCTTTTGCTCCCACAATAAAAAAAGGTTTTACTTCAGATTCAAGCATTCCTCAGTTAGGACGTCAAATTGAAAGAGATCGGTTAACTCTTGCCTGTAGCTAGCCAAAAATGCGAGTCAAACATGTAACCAAGGCGCAAATAAATGGTAGAACTGGTTGGGTCACTTTTATTATTCCCCCAAAAAACAATGGCGTTAAAAGCAGAAAGAACTGTGCCTTGCACTTTTATTTTCATTATTCCTTTTCAGCGCGTAGTTTTAATGTATGAAAAACTTCCAGTCAACTACTTTGCATGCATTTCATGTGACGATGCGTACGTCCTATCCCCATTTTTATCCCTGTTAATAATAATAACAGTAGTGGACTTTCAGATTTTTGTTGCCCAGGTATTCCAGAAAGGGGTGTTTCCCTTTTGCCATGGCATGCGGTGAATCGTCTTCACTGTCCCAACGAAAGAATTCTTCTCGCGTGTTGACACCATGGACATTCTGACAATGACGGTTACCAGACTTGAGCAAAACGAAGGGAGTGTCAATTGGGAGATAAATGGCCTTAGTAGCATATCCATCATCCCGGCAGCAGTAATAGATGTTTGTGTTTCTGTCATAACTGCCGTCTGGTAGCTGACCGCTGCGCCAGTTATTGTTGTTGTCATCTTCGTCATCCCAATAAATGTATCCATCCCTGAAGCCTGGTAGGCACAATACAGAACATTGATTAGTCCATAACTGGAGGGAAATGAAAATAATCTAAAATTTTGCGTTCTGCTAAAATTGAGCATTACCAACATAACTGGGCGTCAGGTCAGATTTTCAACCGTTCATCAAATAGTGAAGGTTTCTGCTAATTTATTTGGTAGGAAAATAGTTTATTTTCCGAAGAGCAGTTTCCTTTCCCTATTTGCAATCATTTGTCCAGCTTCACTTTTGGTCAGGAATTTGCCTGTTTTCATTTTGCTGTTCAAACAATTGTGGACAAGAAAGTTGCAAAAGTCTCTTGTACACTCCCAAATTTGGAACTACGATGCAATTAAGTTTGTAAAGAGACAGAACCGACCTGGTCATCTTCCTCGACTGATACCAAGTTGAGTGGACAATTAGAAGCATGCCTTGGGCCTATTGCATCACTGAATATATTTTTCGTGTGTTGTTCTAAATCGGTAAGATAAATCGAAAATGTTCCGACCATCATTTATTGAAATAGGGTTCATCACCGACCCGAAGAACAATCTACTCACCTTGAGGGCAATTTCCTTTCTTGTAGATGCAGTATTGTCCTTTGGGCCAGGGGAGGTTGTATTTTGAGGTTTCAGCTCTGGTCTTCATGCAGAACTTTTGTTCCATGTTACTTTTACTAACGTGTCCTGCTAAATCATAGGGATTTGACCAATAGTTGTTTGAGGCATTATCCTCGGTGTCATGGTAACGGGTCCCTTTGTGCCAAAACGTTCCTTTCGGACATCCTGACTTTGTCATGGGGAGACCATAGGTACCGACTGGCCAAGTAAGAGGAATGCGCACATCAGGATCTGAAAATTTCAAAAGAAATACTCTCAACCCTCTTTCTGCAGATCACTGTTACCATCATTAGTAAGAATGCTATTCTGGCTGTTTTCTGTTTAGTATTCTACGTATTTTTGAACGGATGAATGTGAGATAGTACCTTGAGGTTTAGAAGCCCCTTTTATCCTAGGGTATTCCCGTAAGATCCTTTTCACGTTACTTCTTCGCTGTGCCAAACCTCGACATCGGTATCGCTGGTCAAGAACTCTGAAAAAACTATCTTCAACAGCGTTGTCAATAGGCATCAGCTGCAATCCAATGGGTTCAGGCAAGTTGTGTCCTCCAGAGGAGAATACCATCCTGTTCTCAGTAAAACTAGCTGTATCTGTATTGGATTCGCTAAACTTTTTTATGTCAACTGACAAGGAGCTACTGAATCCCAAGAGACTACCGGACGCTGACAGCGATGATTCTTTCTAGAAGCCGAAAGCATTAACATGATTCAGCATCTATTCAAGCCCGGCATGCTAGTCCATCGCAGGGTTACCCCCAGCATCAATGCGCCGGTAGCTATTTTTACACCTGGGTGGAGAGGCACTGTGAGAGTGAATGTCATAATGTCCCCGACCAGGCTCGAACCCGGACCGCTCGATCTAAATACTATTGACACTTTAATAAAGTCTTTCATATATTCATTCATCCGGAGTCGAGCACACTAACCATGAGACCGGGGGGGAGGGGACTCCCTTACATGGGCTATATAGGTATGTGCGGCCCCAAAGGGTATGGTTTTTCAGCTGTTTTGGTCATAAATAGGGTATGGGTTTTGTACTCCGGCCTTGATATGGGTATGTTTTTAAGAAGAAGCCCCTTTTTCGTTATTGTCGAAAAGAAAATCAACAAAAGCCCTTCACAAACTATGTTTACAGTAATTTAACATTGGTCTGAACTAGGGAACTAATTGTAACACAGATCTGAAACAGGGTTTTGATTTAAGGGTCAGGTCATAAATAGGGTTTCGAATTTATGGTCAGGTGATAAAAAGGATAGGGAATATCGCAGATTTTGGTCAAATAGGGTAAGGGTTTTGGGAAGTGGGCCGCACACCCCGCCCAATTTTTCCAGGTGTACCCCCCCCCCCCTCCCCGGGGCCAAGAGGATACCGTGCCTCCAAGTAACCAAGCTTACATAAACAATATTTGAATAGGACTTTATACAATTTTGACATACCATACACAAAATGTGGCAAATAAAGGGAACAGCCAAGTTCTTCTTGCATGTTCCATTAAAAACTCGTCGGTTTAATTCCTATATCTTTGAGTCCCAGTTTATTCCATTTGCCTGATTTACGTATACCTTGTAAACGTTTCACCCATTCCATCAACCAATCATTAAAAAACGCCGGTGGTCAAAATATTGACATAACACGTGAAACAAAGACCATGGCCCATCAGTACCCTTTTATGTCAGGTTATGCAGCCATGGTCAAGGTCACTTGAACACTGGCTCACGTTTGTAAATCTATACCTGATCATGGTGCTCAATAAATAAACAACATCATCAATTCTTACGTTTTCCATGGCAAACTTGACAATTTTAGTGTACGAACTTTCGTGACGTTCTATCTTCTTCGTTCCCAATGTCACCTTGACCACAATGTCCTAAAAGAAAATAAAAACACTTGCTTTTTAACTGTAAAATTGTGAAAAAAAATTGCAGTTGGGAGTAACGTCAATTGAAATGCATTTTCATATGTACACGCACCTAGTTTCAGTGGGCATAGCATTTTTAGTAATCCAAACAACCACCAAATACTAAAACTGTGATCATCGCGAATACCAGTTTGTTATCGGATCGAAGGTCCTGAATCCGGACTCTCTATACGAGGTCGCGCTCCCTGCTTCCTCATGCTTTTTGACCCTTTTTACCATATTTTCCGAACGCGAAGCGACTGACACAGAACTTAATTTAAACTGAACGGCGTTTAAACTCAACTGAAATTGAATAATAATTACTAGCGTCAATATTCCTGACAGTTCACCCATTCTGTACGCATTCATAGCTTAATTAATTCAGATTGATTCACACATAGTGCACGTATCTAGAATTACAACATTTCCCTCACTTCCTTTCAAAAAAAATAAACTGAAAGTTCCCAAAGTTTTGTTAGTGCTTCTACAGTTAAACTTCTTCGGTTAGTCTCTTTGGTGGTCTAACAGTTCGTCGTGGTCCAAAGGTTGCAATGTCGGAATGGGTGCGGTCTTGCACACACTGTGTCGGTAGTATATGGTTGACAGTATTCATCGGCCATGATTTTGGCGTAACGTATTCTGCTGAAGTGGTAGGCAGCCCTATTAGAGTTTCTGGTTGTTGGTCGATTTGAATTGCAAGACGTAAGCGGCGACGGTTGGTGAAATATCTCCAGGTTCAGTCTGTACGTACTTGGTAACGTTTGAGTGATCTGTCAGTGGGTTGCTTAATCATTGTTGCTTTCTGCCAGACTACTTCATTCGGATCCAATTGACATCGAACATTCTGGTATTGCTTTAGATTATAAAGTTTCTTGGCCGTTTATGATTGTGGTAATCAGCTTGGGTCTGTTTCTGTGCTATCTTCACTTCCCTGCTCCTCTCCAGATTAGGATCCAGATATTGATGAATGAGCAGGAGTGCTCTATACTTGGGTTGGGGAAGCAATTCTGCTAACCGTAGTTGAGCCGGTCTGATTGGTGTGGATCTGTAGATGAGGGTCTGGAAGGGGGTTCCTGATTCCGCATTCCCGCTCCTTTTTCACGAGAATCCCGCACATCCTGCACTTTTTTCATCACTATCCCGAGTCCCGTTTTTCTTTCCCAGAAAATACATTAAAAAGTTTAACTTCTACAAAAGCTAATGAATGTAAGATTGGCCCTTTCGATTGATATTTTGAATTTACGTGTGTTTTTAAAGGCTATTTGTGCGGTCGGGAATCCTTATGCGATATAAGGCGAGATTGCTGTCACCATTTTGTTAGCGAACGGGACTTTAGGCGCGATGCCTAATGAGTTTGCCAAGCAGACAAGTCTCTGATGAGTCCCTTGGCCAGGACGAAACGAGTTGCGTAAGACTAGCACGAACAATGTATCATCAAAAGTAACTGTCAACTTTATTGTCAATTCTTAAAGGCTCCTGCAAAAAGAAATAGCTTTTTGTACCTCCGTATGATGAAAGAGCACGATATGGCAATCGTGACCTAGGGGTTTTCTCCAAGGCCTTTACTCGTAGCGATTTCTGCTAACCCAGTGAAGGTTTTTTTAAGTGTTTCGCAAAGTTGAACAGGTCTTTGTGTTCGTCGCCGCTTAGCGGAACATTGAATTTCTCTTTGTGGATCGCCGAGGTTCTGGCGCTAGAACTGGAAGTATCGTCGGTGGTCGTAAGATAAAACGAGACCAAAACTCTTACTGTAACAGAGCTGGTATCACTATTTGCCATATCTCGGGCAACTAGCGGTTAAGCTGTTGAGAAATTCCCCTCAAGATTACAATAAATGTGAACCTGTGAAGAGACTGAAGAGCTCGAGGAATTGAGTCAATTGAGCATCGAGTCAATAACTGGTACGCTATTATGCTATTACATCTGGTTTAAACAAAATACCCTCTGACTATTTCAATAAGATAACTATTAACCAGGCACACTGTATAGTTTGGTATGGAAGGAGAGGCCGCTTAGCGCTCGCCTGGTTGATTCTTTTTGGCCGCTAGAACGTTTATTTGGATCGTGATGATTTCCCGAATTCCCGACAGACAGGCCAAAAAAATTCCGCATCCCGTGCCCAAATTTTGGCGAGTCCCGCTTCCCGGGAAGCAGTCAAATCCCGGGTCCAGTCAAGATATCTATCATTTTCCCGATTCCCGCACCGTATTTTAATCAAATCCCGGATCCCGAAAATACCCTTCCAGACCCTCGTAGATCAGCATTGCAAGATGTGGGTCAGAACCTGACTCTTTTGCCTTTTCCCTGACGTTCATTGCCGTTTTGACCATGGATTCGATTAAACCATTCGACTGAGGGTACCTGGGGCACCTAGAACCTGTGCTAAACAGCAAATGCTATGAACTCGTCGGATTCAAATTGAGTTCCTCTATCTGTGTGCACTTCTCCTGGAATCCCATATTCTGCAAAGATTTTCTTGAGGAGACCAATCACGTGACCTGACGTCTGATTAGACAGTTTCTTCGCAATAGGAAATTTACTAAACTAATCTGGAACGAGTAGGTAGTGGTGAGAACGATGTTCAAATATGTCGATTCCGAGTTTGACTCCTGGCATGCTGGGTACATCATGCGTCATGAGCGGTTCCTTCTGTTGAGTTGGCTTCTCTTTCCGGTAAATGTCACACGTGTTCATTGTTTCCTCGCGAAAACACTGTCTTGCGCACTCCTGGTAGAGTTTTTCCCCTTTCCCAAATGTTCTGCATGAAGATCTCTCAGATATTCTGCTCTCTGCAATATGCGAATCACTAAACGATGAGCTTTGAATATCAGTCCATCTTCGATTGCTACCTCTTCACGATAATTATTACAGTAATGCCGCTCTGGTTCTGGAAGTTGACGCTTTTGAAGTGGCCAGTCGTGGAATGTGAAATGTCGTAGCTGATTCAAAGCTGGATCTGCATTGGTGGCAATTCTGGTTCTGTCAAGGCGATTGTCTGTTGCTGCAATGGCGTTACCTGATGCACCGGAATTGCATTCATCTGCTTTCTATCCTGACGCTCTGGACTGAGCGGCTCGACTGGACTCAAAGCTTCTGCTATTGAGTTTTCCTTTCCCCTAATGTGCTCTAACTTGATCTCGTATCTTGCAAGCCTTAATAGTGGTCTTTTTCTTGAGCTTGCTGTGGCAATTTGCTTCTTCCAAATGGTCTCCAGTGGTTTTGCGATCTGTCTGAACTCGAACGGGGTCACCATACACATAGTTTGGCGGTCTTGCCATGACGATTACTATTCCTACAAGTTCTCTCTCAATGTTGCAATACTGCTCCTCAGCAGGAGTTAGTGTTAGGGATACGTAGAGCACTGTTCTACCATCTTGCATGTGATAAAACTGTACCCAATTCTTTCAACGGTGCATCCTTTCTCGATAACATGTTCAGACTTGGGGTTGAAATACGCCTCGAGTACGGGATTCTTTAATTTGTAAGCTCTTCTTTGATTCCATCAAACGAAACTTGATGGGCCGAATCCCAAGTCCATTCCACGTTTTCTCTTAGTAGTAGCTTGAGTAGCTCGGAGAGTTTCATCAGCTGGACTGAAATAGCGTTCAGATAATAACCTTGCCTTGGAAACTCTGAAGACCTTGCTTCTCTTTTGGTCCACTCATCTACTTAATGGCCTCTACTTTTCTGTCAGAAATCTTCGTGCCGTCAGAGTTTGTCCAAAGAATTCACGTGTGGTTCTCTTGAATTGCAGTTTCTTTGGATTGAACTTTATGCCGTTCATCCTTGCTGTCTCAAGTAACCTGAGCACGTTCACATCGTGAATGTTCACATTGTGATTCTTATAACTCGTTGTAGGGAGGAATTAACTTTCTCTTGGAAGACTTCTGAACTGACTTTCAGGCCAAAAGGAAGTCTGAGCCACTTGTATTTTCCCCTAGGTATATTGAGGGTTGCCAAAAGTGAGCGTTAACTTCGTCAATCCTCTTTGAGTAGCAGCAGCGGCGGCAAAGGCAGCGGTAGCGGTAGGGTAGCGGTAGCGGTAGTGGTAGTGGTAGTGGTAGTGGTAGTGGTAGTGGTAGTGGTAGTGGTAGTGGTAGTGGTAGTGGTAGTGGTAGTGGTAGTGGTAGTAGTAGTAGTAGTTCCTATTGATACCCTTATTGATGTCTTTTAGATGTAGACAGAGTCGAATCGATTCATCTGATTGTGCGAAGGGTACAATGATGCTGATCCAGTCCGTGTGTCCCCCAACTGGTTCGATAATGCCGAAGCTGCATAATCTTTGTAGCACATCTTTACAGGCCTCTTTCTTCTTTTCCGGTACTGCGCTGGGTGGGTGTTGTACGGGTTGAGCCTCAGGTTTGAGTTCAATGTGGTATTTTCCACCCGGCAGTTTACTAATGCCTTCGAACACATCTTTAAATTCTGATAGCACGTACTCCTTTCTAATGGGCTAACAGTGTCTCTTTCCATTCAGTATAACGCCATCATTCATTATTTCACATGTGGGCGTTTAACTTCGTCTAAGATGCAGAGCACACTCGTATGGACTTGTGGAACACGAGGTAAGGCGGGTGGTGTTGCCACCGGATAGTCGATGTAACCAACTTGTTGCCCTGTTGTTCTACCTAGGATAAGATATCCTCGAGTGTCTCTCACCAGAGAGATTGTCATCTGTGGCTGCTTATTGCTGGTGTGGATGCTAATTGTGCACGCTCCAAGATTTGCTGTCGATGATTTTCTGTATCCGAAGATTTGAACTGGAGTAGGTATTAGTTCCTTATCCCCAAACTAGACGCTTTGCTGCGTGTACCCAGGCAGTCGTTATTCTGAGAAGCAAAAGCTATATTGCAATTGAGCTAAATTTTCTGCATTTGAAGTTGTACGAAATTCAATCGAGTTGATGTGCTTAAGCTATTCTGCTTTTGATTGCATTTCTTGGAATCGATTAATAGCTTATTACTCGTTTGCAATTCTTTAGGGTGTGAAATGAGTCAAGGTCTTCATATCAACCTATAAACGTTTCAGTCTATTTTCCGTAGCCTTTGTCGTTGTTACTTGCGTTTCTCAAGCAAGCGAGACATTTTGAATTTCATAGTTATGGCGATGCGTGACATAGACCCACGAATGCGTTGTCGAAATCATATACTTATCTCGTGATTTTTAGCCCATTTAGAAGTTAAAGTATTAGGAAAAGTGCTTATGTAAATGCTTGTTTGTTCAGTRCAGATMATCAGTCGCCTAGATAGCCAAAGTAAGTTCCAGATGTTTAGAATGTTTTCCGGCCGCAATGTAGGCGTACCGCGGAGGTACACCAACATGGCAGTTCCATACTGGTCTCTGTAAATTTGTGCAAAATATTTCGACGAATACGTGAGCTTGGGAAAACCCACAGACTTAAAAATTCGGAGTGTCATCTTTATTAATCTCCTATAACATCACAATTTCTTGATTTTATCCACTAAATGGTTTTGCAATAAATTTTATTGCGTCAGGATTACGTGACAGTGCAAGCCAAGAATTCTTTTGCTGGGGTCCACATACATTAGTTTCTTCAGCTTAAATGTACAATGATTCGCTACATGAGTTTCACTCTTGTTAGGCCACATAACTCTGTTACAAGCAAATAACGAGAGAATATCGTTTAATTCGAGATTTATCTTAATTATACTTTACGAAGTTTCTCAGAGCATTTTACTTAGGTGTAATCGAACAGATGAATTCGTAAACAAATTCCCTAACCCTTCTGCTCTTGTTGCTCAGACGTTCTTGAGCTCGTGCTGGGATTCTGCTTGGTTCACGATCACATCTAAAAATACGAAGACGCTTCTGAAGATGCTTTTTATCAAGTTGAAGAGTTGATAGCCCCGGTTGATGGCTCCTTTGGTATAACATGATTCATGATTCACTCAAAATGTTCGCTTGTAAATTGATCTCTCGTAAGGCTTGCAGAGACCCGTTCCGAAAACGCTTAACGTCCTTTAGTGTTGGTCTACCTTGAACAGTGTGTTCGCTTGTATGTGATTTCATCGCCCTAGAAATCATGGAATCCTTGCTAACTTTTCTCGACGACGACGTCTGCAAATTTCATGTGCTGTACGCATGTACAGGTGGCGCATGCGCTTTAGAGACCAGACAGCGATTTGTGACTGAACATGGAAAAAAAAAAAACGGAGCCGAAATTTAAACCCAGGCCTCACTGCCTGGGTAACAACGATCTGTACATGCATAAAGGCATTACGTCACACTTCGCACCTGTGTCGATCTTACACGCAACCAAAGTAGCTTGATACGCTTGCTTGAAGTGTCATTAACGCTCTTGACATAATACCTCTCGATATGGTGAAACAGTGCTGGCGGATTTGAATACTGTTGGGGCGGCTCAAGTGGCGTGTAGTAGCATGGATATCCATGGGTTGATTGGAGGCTGGCTATTTTCGCCCAGTGGTTTTGTCTGCAAGCCATGTATTTGGGTTTGTTTGAATTTGCTGTGCTTGCCTGGTTTTGCTCTCTTGCTCATGCAACACTTGTGCGCCCTTTATTGCAACAGTTGTGACACACTGCATCCATGGCTGGACACCTAGACTTTGAATGAGTTGGGCTAACTCCGCAACAATAAAGTCTTGCCGCTTCATTTCATCTTTGTCGTTGCAAGTGTCGTCCATGCCATGCCCCTTTGCTAGTTTTTTCATCTTGTCAGTGCTTTTCTTGTAGTCTGTGACCCTGAGTTAACCCTTACTGTATGGCTGTGGCTGCAGCCGATGCTGTGCTTCGAGTCTGCATTATCCATCTTTGACAGTCGCTATTATAGATTTCGGTAGCAATCTCGATGTCCCTTTCCGCCTTAAGCGTATGTTTGGGCACTTTCCATTCGACCAAATGTTCCAGTTTGAAATTCCAGGTATTCCATGTGGCGAATGGAACAGTATTTTCCGGTTGGTTGGACTAACCTGTCCCAGCTCATCACGTTTCAAGTTTCGCGTGAAAATACGAAATAAACAAAGAGAAAACAAACAGCGGATTCGTTGCCTGTTTGACCTTTTTTACAAACGATGTACTAGGTGAGGACGACGATATAACTTCTATCAGTGCAGCTAGCTCTTACATGCGTAGGAATTTAAATCGAGTCTGCGGTTACGTTAAGGATACGATCCCCTTTATTTCCTGACGAGTTCAAGCGTCACTATCGAATGACGAAGCAAGCTGTTCACTCGTACAGTCATGCCCACATTACTCATAGCTTACATGTATTTGCGCACTACTTACTAAAGCTTGTTGTGGCCAATCCCCTGCAATAATGTTGAAGAAAGATATTTAAGTCGTCCGTCAGATAGAAAACATGACGAGTAGTGATATTGAGAAGCTTGATGTTGAGTTCGATTTCCGGGCTCGGAGAAACTGGGCCCGAGCAGGAATGGTCGAATGGAACGGAATTTTCCGGTTATTCCGATTTTCCGGAATTTTAGGCCAACCTCTCGAGGTACACCTAAAATTTCGGGATGAAATTCCGAAAAATGTCTGTTCCATTCGCTCCCTCACCTGGCATTTCCGGAATATTTGGTCGAATGGAAATCGCCCTTGGTTCTCTTCCAAACACTTCTGATACACCATTGGGTTTTGGAGTCCATGGAGATTTGCATTCGAAAGAACAATGTCTTTGGTGTCCTCTGGCCATCCACATGCGTCGGTAACTGAATTTGTCTGCACTTTTCGATGTACTCAGGTAGTTTCATGACTTTTCTCTCCTCGCGTTAGTACTTTATTTTGAGTAGCCGCGACGAGTTTGCTTCCCCTCGGTTTGCAATGCTCCTCCAATTTCTCGGGATGCTTTTCCCATTTCTTAAGATCAGCTTCTACAATTGTTACCTTGTCGAGAATGTTTTGACCGCGATCTTCTGACCTGACCACTGGTTAATAGTCCGAGCATAGGAATTCTGGGTCTGCTTTAGTCATCTTTAACCCTTTGCATAAGACAGACACCTCTATCTTCCATTCTAGGAAACACTCGTGTAGTTTTCCATCGCTTGTCCAATCGATAATCGGTCCTTTTGTCAGCCCTTCCATGGCCATTTAATTTCGCTCACGTCACTAAAGCTCTGAATTAATATGAAGGCTGGATTTCGGTCTTGACGCCATGTATCATTGTGCTTTTTGACTTTCTATACTTTATTTTCCGAACGCGAAGCGACTAACACAAACTTCATTTAAACCGAAAAGCGGTTAAACTGAAGTGAAATTTAATAATAATTACGAGCTTAAATACTCCTAGCGGCTCACACATTCTGCACGCATTCAGAGCTTAATTATTCCGATTGATTCACACACTGAGTGCACGCAGCTAGGATTACATAACGTCTTTCGTTTACATTGCAAGTTACAAAACATTTATCGACATAAAAAGTAAAGGTAATTTAAGGAAACAAAATAAGTGTTCTCAAGAAATAAAAGAATATTATGTACTTTAAAAGGCACAGCAGAATACTAACCGTTCCCCAGCTGTCGATAAATATGCGGTAAGCTCGCTGGTCGTAAACTTTGGGTAAGCGGCACACAGCAGCCGCGAAGGCTTCTGTTACAGAATACTTGTCAACTTGAGCTAACTCCAGAAGATATCGAGCTGTGCCTTCATTGCAAACTTTTTTCTTTTCAAAAAAGACTTTGTGCTCTCTTGTTGTCTCATGTTTTATACTCCCATAATCTACAATAGCGAGTGAGAAAGACAGGGGGCAAAAAAACAAAGAGTTACATGTATTTTTTTCCAAGAAAGCCGTGTTGTTATCAAAACTACACAGAGAGAAATAATGTAAATAGTTTGCTACTAAACATAACATTAAAATAGATAGAGATCAAAGCTGAACGGAACGGACTTCTAGTCCGTTCCCATGTTTCATTGTGTTATTAGAGTACACATGCGCATTTAAATAGAGTATATTTTAGATTATACAATTATAGAGGTACAGTTGCATCCGCTTTAAGATTTAATAAGAACTTGCGCTGAAATGATAAAAGAATTATCACTCAGGTTATAGTGTTAACATGCGATAATAACATTTATCTATGGCAAACAGCTTATTAATAAGCTTGTGCGCTTTGATTATTTTTATAGTGGCTAATTGTTACCGCCATATCGCGAAGTCAATCTCGATCGGTCTCCAAACATCGTTTTAAAAAAGAACAAACGTTTAAGTTTATTCACGAAAACGAGTTTGACTGAAAATAGAACAAAAATAAACAATTATTTACAACATTAGACGGCTGAACGGACAAACCCCGAAAAACACAAACTTACAGCTTTTTTCCGAAATGAATGATTGACCTCTGGCGAAAAGGAAATTATAAGAACAGCGACAATGACTAGCTCTAATAATATAACTCGAAGGATATTAGTTTGACCGTTGCCACAGAATTTAAACTACTAGTCTTATTAACATATTGACCTCACGCGCGCGCGAAAATACCAGATGTCCCGCGGGGCCTCTTGT